TTTTCCACCTCGAGGGAGACATGTTCCAGTGTTCATGCCGAGGAAGACATGACCCGATACGACACTGACTGTGTCCCCAAGAACTGTAGCCAGGCTGTAAGTACAACCTCTCAAGAATAAGTCGCAGTTCTCCACAACGTTAATTACAAATCTTGACAAAGATATTTTTATCTGACAGAACGTTACTTAAATGTGAATTGTTAACGTGAATTAAGTGTGATGCAGTCTGAATTTAGTTAAGCATTCTTTAGTTGTTTTATTGTCTATTCCTATTATGGGGAACAATAATTAGGTCACGATTACTGTTACAGTGTACAAGGAAATCGCTGGGTCGGGGACAATTTCTCAATTTCACGTATAAACTGTATGTATGTATGAAATGTGTACAAAATTAGCACATGCTAGTAAAGGGAAGTGTCTGTTGCAGAGTTCAGCAGATACAAACATGATATTGTTTTCTTTAAAGTTTTTAAATCCAGTAAAGTATTTAAACTTGAACAAATGTAACACCTACAACGTTCCCAATGATCTGAGGCACTACAAATGCTAGGGCAGGTAATTAAAGTGGGAAACAAAATTTGAGAAAATTATGCAATGTTCCAGGTAATGTTTTGAACCAGTTCATATTTATAAATGTGTACTGGTAGGGTACTGGGTCCTGGTAGGTCTCTTTGGGTTGTCATTGATGTATTATTCTCTTTGGATTCTGACATTAGGGTAATTTATAGCCAGTAAATATATGCTTCTGATAATACTGTATTAATTCTTTTAGTGGCTTTTAGAATCTCTTACCTAGGGACAACAAATATATTTTGCAATTATTTTCATGTGCCAATCTTTTTAACAAAAAAAATACTTATAATCGAGTTAATGCTTGATTTATAAAGCGAAACCACAACAAATCACTATACTTGATTAGGCTTTTAATAGAAACTTTTAATCATGACAAAATGAAAATGTAAATAATGTTTGGCACAAATGAAACAAGGAAAGGAATAATTTAAAAACGGAAATATCCGAAGATTTACGAGAGCGTTACTAAGTTTTCCGAATGCATGTCAAAATACCGGTTTTCGATCAGCGTATCGCAATACGTATCGTTTTCATGCCTGAACCGGTAAATACCGGTTATATTGCACATCCCTAATTATCATACTGATTGCTTGTTTCTGGTAAGAGGAAAGTCTAACTTGACTTTTCTGAGGATTTCTCCTTCCTGGCATATCTTTGAAATGCCAGGGGCCCATTTGGTTTTACATCCCGTTCAGTCAGATAAGACTTGCAAGACAACTGTGTTTTGGAATTTCATGGTTGTGTTGTTTTCTTCGTGGTTTATTCTCTTTGTTTTTTTGGTGAGTACATCTAAACAAAGATAGGTGGTATGTTTTGTGTGTGGCATTTACATAATTGCATGCTCGGTTGGGTACGGTACAAAAAGGATATTTAATGATAACATTGTGACTAATTATGTCCAACTGAATCTGAAGGTTCAGTGGGTAGGATATTGTTTCTAGCTCTGTTACAAACTTGTGTCTCAATCATCAACAAAGCAAACCGACCTGTAATGTTCCAGTGTGAGTTGGTGCATCTGGAGTATCCTGGTGTATCAGAAACACGATCGTATGGCTTTGTATCCTAACACTACCGCCATTATGGTTTGGGAGTAAATATTCTTTGTTCTTCAGCCAAACGATACGCCTGAGTGGTTTAAACTAATTCGTTGCATTGGTAATTATATTCATTTCCTGCATGGGTTACAAGTTTCCATTGTGGGAACATTTTTCACATTTCAATTTTAAGTTAAACAGTTATCCTCTGTGTATGAAATATTTCTCCTTGTGTTAGAATTGTCATAGAGACAAACCTTGTTTCCTCTTCCTTATAAAGCCTGACAATATTCTGATGTTGTTGATAATATTTCAATTTCAACATAATGACTAATTCAGTCAGTTAAATACAAGAAATAAATTAATAAAAATTAAGAACATTACATTTTTGGTTCATGTTCTCAAATTGAGAGTCATCAGTATTTCCAAATATTTTAGGTCATCAGATTATAATCATTTCTCAAATACATGTCCAAAAACCCAAACTGTTCTTTTTGAGTTTGATATTGAATTCATTTGTGACCTGCCACTTAAGTCATTGGTGTTTTAAGTTTGTTTAATCATTTTAGGATCACCCTTTCCCCAAATAAACTGTTTTTTCATTTGTGACCTGCCACTTGATGGTGTTAGATATTCAATTATTTGGATTTATAAATAATTAAAAAATGGATAGATGTAACCACCCGCCTTAAATAATTAAGTTTTAACAAGAAATATTTACACATATACCCCAAATAATAAATATCTAAGCCAAATAACTAGATGTCTAACCAAAACAATGAACTATCTGACACAATATGAGTAAATATCTTACCACAAAATTAAAATCTTGCAAAATGATAAAATATCTTACCACAAAATTAAAATCTTGCAAAATGATAAAATATCTAAACCAACATAAATTCATGTGTCATCATCAGCTCTAAGAATAGCCAGCTCATGTATCTGACATGACGATTTAACAAACCAGGCCAAAGAACATGCACAATTCTCCATCATATACAGCATATCTTAGTCTCTGTACATGTGATCTCAGGAACACTACTGGTGGTCCAGCTATTGTGAGACTGACTGACTGAGTTTTGGTGTTACGCCGCTTTTAGCAATATTCCAGCAACATCACTGCGGGGGACACCAGAAATGGGCTTCACACATTGTACCCATGTGGGATTCGAACCTGGTCTTCGGCGTGACAAGCCAACGCTTTAACCACTAGGCTACCCCACCGCCCCTATTGTGAGAGATAATTAAGGCATGGTTTAAGTATCCATGTCTGTGTAAGACCTTGGATGGGATTATTCTCCCCTTGCACCTGTGTGGTGAGGTGTACAAAGTAGATAATGTGATATAGGAGTGAGTGAGTAAGATTTTAGCAATATTCCAACAATATCACGACAGGGGATACCAGAAATGGCCTTCACTCACTGTATCCATTGTGTGAGGAATCAAACCCAGTTCTGCATTACAACCAACGCTTTAACCACTGGGCTACCCCACCACCCTGTAATATAGGCAGATACCTAGTGCATCGAAATCTCATGTTTGAGTGTCAGTAGCAGAGTGAAAACTGTAGTGGGATGATTGAAATTAGTTCCTGTTGCCAAACAACAGGGAACAACACAAACGTAAAAATTCGTTTTTTAATATATTGTGAAATTGTTTATTATCAAACCGATGAAATATGTAATTTTCACACAAGTAAACTGGACATACACATGAAAATGACCACATAAAAACTCTTCATTAACAAAATGACAATGGTAGGTTGGCAATCTCAGTGAAAAAGTGAAAGGTTTGTAAATGACAACTGATTATTGTCTAGTTCATGTAGAAATGATAATTGGCACATATACATTCTGAAAAGACAATGCTCTGTTCAAACTCTCGTGTGTTTGTAATGTATCAACCTGAATAATATTGTGTCAGAATCTTGCTATGGTTGTGAAGGGCACATCGTTTATAGAAGTAAGTCAAATGTCGACGATAAGGTGCTTGTTATCAAACCAGTAACAACGGCAATGACAGGATAGCAGGAGAGCAAGATTGGAGAGGGCGCAATCCACTAGACGGACAATGTAACGTGGTTCAAGCAATGAGAAAGTGATATCCTGCAGATATCATATCATTAAAAAAACACTGATGCAACAAAACACTGATATTCTTCATTTTTTTTTTAAAAATGGGTTGGCATTAGAAATTGAAACTTCTGTTTATTTTAATATGTTGTCAGTTTGAGTTATATTTATTTCTTCAAATTATCAAAGCTGTTGTAACATATTGTTTTTGAGCACATATTTGTGGAGAAAAAATAACATATGTTTGATGTCTGACAGAATATGTTTCATCAGATAATGAAAACGGACTTTTCTCTGGTATTGAGGTTTAGATTACATTTTAGTTCCATTTTTTGAATTTTTATTTTTTTTAGAATTGCTAGACCAGTTACAAAACTGTCTCATCTGTTGTTTTTTTTAGTTGGAACTGTATGTTCAGGATCAAATCTTAAAACTCATTCCCTTGTCAGAGATCTCACATTCCTGAAAGTTTCTTATCTGTTATCAAATATGCTGGTCAGGCAGGTGTACTGTAAGGGAAAAACATGTCACGATGGAGGAAGAGTATTGCCAAGTAAAATTGTATTGCAAGTATGCCGTGGTAGTACTGTCATTTGAAGAGGAACAAATTTATGGATTGACTACTTTAATGCAATAAATTCGACATTTCAGTGTAGCTTTGTTACTTGCACTAGTACAATCAAATATTACAAAGTGCAACCTAGTTATTAGTCTAACTTGCACCAGGAGCAAGTCAAGTTTTGTGTGGGTAAACTTCTAGATAAAACATCTAAATATTTCAGTAGCATATTTCTTTTATAACATATTGCAATAAAAGCAGTGCCATTGGAATTTGGCTGGTGCAACTAGGTTTTTATGTTAGGTTGCACCTGGTGCAAGTAGGTTAACATCTCTTAAATCGAGCCCTGGTTACCTTCACCCACTAGGCTATCCCATAGCCTCTTTAATGTGTAATGAATACAAAATTAAACATCCCGCTTCTCGTGTCTCAACGCTTTAACCACTGGGCTACCCCACCGCCTAGGTTCATAAAGACATGCATATGTTAGACTGACTGACTGACTGAGTTTAGTTTTACGCCGCTTTTAGCAATATTCCAGCAATATCACGGCGGGGGACACCAGAAATGGGCTTAACACATTGTGCCCATGTGGGGAATCGAACCCGGGTCTTCGGCGTGACGAGCGGACGCTTTAACCACTAGGCTACCCCACCGCCCCTCATATGTTAGAACAAAGCACAGCTATCATATCTGTCTCTCACGTACTGTACGGAGATGTAAGGGACCTGAAAATACACTGATTGTATGTTTGACGACATGATAGAGGATTTAATCCACTGTCCATGTCAGAACAGTATGACCCTTGACCTTATGACCTTCCATGAGTGAGTGAGTGAGTGAGTGAGTTTGGTTTTACGCCGATTTTAGCAATATTCCAGCAATATCACGGCGGGGCACACCATAAATGGGCTTCACACATTGAGCCCATGTGGGGATTCGAACCCGGTCGTCAGCGTGACGAGCCGACGCTTTAACCATTAGGCTACCCCACCGCCCCACCTTCCATGAAGTAAAAGTGAAATGTCAGTGCCAGAGAATGTTTAATACGATGTCCTCCGATGTTTGTTTAGCTGATTTTAACAAAGAGATCGAATTTTAATAAGATTCTATTAAACATTTCTTGCAAAATCGGTGTTGATGCTGAGACAGTGGTGCTAAAGTCTATTTCTACATAAACTGCTTACCCCAAACAGTCATTAAAACACCAACATTTACACGATCATTTGTTAAACAACTTTTCCTCTTCATCATGCCAATGTCTGAAATTAAAGAGACGATTTGGCATGGAAAAATGACAAACTTTTATGCCATTTAAGACGATTTGTTGTATGTTAATTTGCCATTTGATCTTGCAGCAAATTGACTGTAGTTTGTCTCACATTTCCTGAACCGAAACAGTTTTCATTCTGCCCAGCCCCTGTCAATGCAAACACATCAAATGAAGATTTTACTCAAATTCAGGTTCTAATTTCCTCATCTAATGAGGACCCATTTCCATTGAAATGAAGTAACTTTAAGTGGCATTTAGAAGCTGGGATGATGAAGAGGAACACTTTAAGGATAGACAACTTCATACTGTATTGCAATAGATACAGCGTTTCAGTGTAGATTTTAACACCGTTATCAAGCACGTCATGTCCCTCTCGCAGATCTGTTTTGAAGAATATGTTTCTGAAGTAATTGGGTTTTTTCATTCATTTTTCAGGCAGTCGGTCAACTTCCATACTTCCCTGCCAGATTGGACATAAAGATGGTGAGCCGTTTATCTCAATACCGATTGAACATACTTTCTTTCTCAAATACCACGGATGACAGGCAATTTCAAGTCCGAGTGGGTTCAACCCTATCTGACCATTATAATCAGGGATCAAGGTGTCCTGCAAGGCAGTATTTTGTCTGTCACATTGTTTAGTATCAAGATCAACAGTTTATCAAAGGTTTTAGACGATTCAATCGATGGATCACTTTTTGTGGATATTTTAATATTTCTTGTCGAGGTAAAAATATGCATACTATTGAACGGCAATTGTAGTTGTGTTTAAATAAAATAAATAAATGATGTCTTGAAAACGGCTTTAAGTTTTCTACACTTTTGTAGAAAATATAAGCCGCATAAAGACCCTGAACTATCTTTAAATGGCACTCCCATCAAAGTTGTTAAGGAGGCAAAGTTCTTGGGTCTAATTTTCGACTCCCATTTAACTTTTTTGCCGCATATTAAATCCCTTAATGCAAAATGCCTGAAGGCCCTTGATATGTTGAAAGTTGTATCCAACTCAAAGTGGGGAGGGGATCAAGCTACCCTCCTCCACCTATATGGATCATTGGTCCGTTCAAAACTTGATTATGGCTCCATTGTATATGGTGGAGCCTGCAAAAGCAACCTAAAAGTATTAGATTCTGTCCATCACCAAGGTTTAAGACTTTGTCTTGGGTCCTTCAGAACTTCTCCTGTTGACAGTCTCTACATCGAGGCAGATGAACCATCTCTTACACAACGCCGTATAAAATTGTCCTTGCAGTATATAACAAAACTTTATTCTATTGAATCTAACCCTGCATTTAACTGTGTCTTTAATCCTCTGTATGGGGATTTGTGCAACAAAAAGCCTTCTCTTGTTCCGCCTCTTGGTTTAAGAATTAAACCATTCATTTCTGCTGCCGGCATTGAGCTGGAAAATATATCTCCTTCCGTCTTCTTTCTTCTCTCCGCCTTGGCAATTGGTTAGGCCACAAGTTGACCTAACATTAACTACATTTAAAAATCAGAAACAAATTAATTACAGTATAAACAAGAATTTAGTCAATTAAGAAATAAATATAATACATACAAATCCTTATTTACAGATGGGTCCAAGGATGGTGGCGCGGTGGCATGTGCCACTGTCATTGATCCAAAACATTATCTTCTCGATTGCCCAATAACAGCTCTATTTTCACAGCAGAAGCTAATGCCATATTAACAGCTCTTAAATATATTAATAAACACCGTAAATATAACCAATACATAATCTTTTCCGATTCTCTTTCGTGCCTTCAGGCTATCAAAAATCTCTCTTGTAAACATTCACTTTTAATTGAAATTATTGAATTGAATAATGATCTTGCTACTGGCCAATGCGACATCGTCTTTTGTTGGTTACCCAGCCACGTTGGCATTTCTGGTAACACAATGGTGCTGATCTTGCTGCCAAGGCAGCACTCAACAAATCTGTGACACCACTTCTTATTCCATACTCTGATTACAAAGCTAGCATTAGAACCTACATCCGTGATCTGATGCAAAAGAAGTGGGACACCCAGGTAGGTATCAATAAATTACATGAAATAAAACCCTACATTGGTTACACCTGGGTTGTCAGTCCAGATTTGAAGAGGTCATCATACGACGGTGTCGCATTGACCACACAAGATATACACATGAATATTTTTGCTTAAAGGTGAAGATCCTCCGTTTTGCATCCCTTGTGATGAAAGAATCACGGTCGAGCATGTCTTGCTTGACTGTGTTGAATATTCCATCACAAGGGATATCTATTTCAAATCACGAACTATGAAGGATCTTTTTAATAATATAAGTTCTCATTTAATTATTGCATTTTTAAAAGAATTAGATTTGTTAAATGATTTGTAAATAGATACATTTTTTATTATTGGTAGTTTAGATTAATAACTGAGATTGTTAGTGGCTGTACCCTCAAAGGGGGTTGAAGTAGCGTAAAATTATTGTAAGTCCCAAAACTTTCAAAGGAAAATTAAATTTACCAGCTGTTTTAAATGTAGCATATCTGTCATTTTAACTTTGGCTAAATTTGAAGGGATGATATAAATCCAGCTAGCTAGGGTCCATGCAGGTAGCAAAAGTACTGTAAGTCCCCATGGTCACTAGTATGGTGATCTACCTTCAGTTGTTGGCTATCTATAGCCAGTTTTTATATTGTTTTGTCCAGGTAGTGCTATTAGTTTTAACTTTCTATACTACTTTTAATTCAAATTGTGATAGTCTAGTTGTTTTACTGTCCTTCGATGACAGGTTTTTATAATATACATATATTCCATTTCAATGTCAAATATGTTCTCGTCACGATATGGCTGAAATATTGCCGATGTGACGTTAAATATTAACTCACTCACTCACTCAAATACCACGGATCATTTCATCTTGGTTCCCATAAACCTAGTATGTCATTGAGAAGCAAAATTTAGAATTCATTGCCATTGGTATTCATTTAAATAACTTTTTTTCATTTTTTTCAAATTCAGAGAGCATTCTGCTGTTAGTATGTATACATATATTTCTTAAGTGTAGAGGAAGAATTTTCTTGAGCTCATCCACATTTTTATTAAATGACTTTATCATAGCTTGTGGAGAAAGCAAAGGTATAAAAAAAAGAAAATTTTTGGGGTGTTTTTTTGGTCACATTATTGAAACTGGTGTCCTCTTGCCATTAAATATCAGTAATCTTCTGTTATGTCATCTACATCCGCACGTATGGGCACGTGATATTACGTCACATAATAAAACATCATGTGCAATGCGATTCCCTTCAGTAACTTTGTGAATAAATGAAGGAACGAAACATGCTTCGTGTGCTCTTTGAATGAGGGAAGTCAAGTACACAACAGTATCAACGAGCAGCATGCAGCTAGGGGGCATTTTTTGTGACTTTTATTTTTAAATTAACTGCATTTTAAAAATCCCTTTAAGGATCCACAGATTTTCAATTTTCTAAATTTTATATCCTGAAACTTGTCAAAATATTTTGGGCCCATCCCATAAATCATTCAGGCATCTTTCTACACTAGCAGTGATCCTTCAGCTTGCAGGATATAGAGAGAGGCACTGTTTTTGTGATTTGATTTTCATGAAATTAGCTATGTTTTCCTGGAATAGCCACCCTGATGGATATTGACAGTGGAAAAATTTCCTTTTTCCATAAATTGTAGGTTAGGCAGGAACATGATGTAACGTGAGAAATGTGAATGCACCTTGCTTTCTTGAATAAAGGGACACATGATTAACTTGTGACACAGGTTCCTTCTGGGAAACACCAACATGAATTGTGTAACTCACAATGAACGCAGTACAGTCAGTATTCTCATGGTGTAACATGTCTAGTCACATAATGAAGCAAACAGTTATAATAATCACCAGTCAAGCATGACCATGTCAGTGGTGTAATTATACAGACGGGCCGCGATACGATATATATCTCCCAGTAATGTGGGTGCAGTATGATTTGTATCCCAAGACAGTACTTGTATTTCATCTTCTCTCCTTTTTTGTAGTTGAATCACAACCCTGAATCATGAATCATGAATCATGAATCATGAATTTCAAATATCAGACAGCAAGGATGGGATATCGTAGGGTAGAAACAAAATAGTCTTGGGGGCACTGCAGGTTCTGTTAATTGAGGCCAACCAGAAACTACTGGAGAATCTGCATAAACTAGTGCTTTGAAGGCGCATCTTGAGACAAACCACCCCTCAGAATCGTTCCAGTCAGCCTCCAAGACATCTCACAGTACAGAGAAATGTTGATCTTATTTTTTAAAATGTGAAACAGTTATGTGTACTTTCAGTGTGCGAAATTAACGCTGGTCCTGTGGTCCCTGGCTAGTAAACATTCATCTGGACCACTAAATGATACATTTGCAGTGGTCCTGGTTGCCAGTGAATTTTAAGGTAAATCCACATATATTATTTTGGACCATGGAAGTACAGACAGGACCACTAATTATCGTCTACCCATTGGTCCTGTGGTCTAGTGGGAAATTTTGAAAGGTTTCTTTCCCTGTACTTTATATGACTATTCAACATATTTCAAAATGTTTCTATCCAATATATCTAATTGAAGTCTCAAATAGGAACATTTGTTTCAGAGTGTACCAATATCAGTAATCGGTATAACAACTCGCCATCTGTGGCGTTCCACAGTTTTGCATTGCTGGCAACCATCGGAACCTATGGCCAGAACCCAAGTCTTACATACTCATTCAAGACACCATATGGAGGTAAGCAACAACACAACAATTTTTTTTTTTTTTTCATTATTTATTTTATTGTCATTTAGTTGACTGAATGACTGATTGTTGATTAATGCTGCACTTGTCTTGTCCATACTCGATTATATACAGACCGCCACCATAAAGCTGGAGTGTGGCGTTAAATAACAAACAAAACAAACATGACTGTCTCAAACTTATTCTTGATGACAAAGGACACAATTTATGGATAACAACTTCTCTCATAGCGATGTTTCAGTAGAGATACTTATACCATCGTAAGGCAAAATGATATATTCCAAACCGCAGTTATGTTGGAAAAAATTGTTGTCCTGAAATTGTCTACATTGTCATCTTTCAAGTTTTATAATATGCCCATGAAACAATTAACCCCTGTTGGTGTGAACTAGATTCTGTACGGTAACTGATGTGCCCTTGATGTTGTGTCTTCAGGGATTGAAGCTCTAAGCACAAAGGCTGTGCTTGTGGACTTCAGCTGCCCCTCGGGGCAAGATGACTACTTCAAAAAACATGAAATATGTCGTGTGTTTGACTTCAGTTCTGCCACGCTTGTACAGAGCATACCGGTGAGTAATATCGGTACTATAGATACCGGTACAAGCAATATCGGTACTATAGATACCAGTACAATCAATATCGGTACTATAGATACCGGGGAGTAATATCGGTACTATAGATACCGGTAGAATCAATATCGGTACTATAACAAAGCATATGATTTTTTAAAGTGACTACAACCAAGTATATATGAGTGAGTGTGAGTGAGTGAGTGAGTGAGTTTAGTTTTATGCCGCTTTTAGCAAACACTTTAAGCACTAGGCTACCCTCATCACACCCAGAAGTATATATACATTCTGCTAATCACCCAGCTATAGCTGTACTAAAATTAAAACAGTAAGGGGTTTTTGAGTTTAGAAAACCAATTGGTTATTGTGTTGAATTAGACAGACACTTTGTCTCTGAATTTAATAATTTTGATAGAAACAAAAAATTCCTTTTAAATTGAAAAGGGGCCCCAGTGACATAGGAGATTCTGATCTTGATGAAATCTACTCGTAGACTTCTTTAATTTTGGACTTAGCAGTTGCAGAAAGGGCTGGGCGGACAGGGAAATACTGCTGTTCCAGGATTGTGAGATAGATTAGTGTTTGGTGTCAGTGAAGCCCATTTCTGGTGTACTCCACTATGGTTTTGCTGGAATATTGCTACGTAGTGTAAAACCGTACTCACTCACTCGATCTCTCTAGACAATTTCAGTCTTGAATTGTTTTGAAGCTAAATCATTTGGGATATCAGCTACTGTTCCGTCAGAAGATATATGCTGATATTCCAAGTTAATTACTTCAGACATGAATAAATATTCATCTGTTTTTGCCGAGATCATATATCACTTCAATATCCCTCTTTCGGTAGATATTGCTTCCTGGATCTCAGGTTACAGCCAATACAAGCCCAGCTGTCATCATGATTGATAGGCATCAGCGCCACCTGGGTCTGTAGTTTCCATGAGTCTCAGATCTGACAATGGAGAATCCTGTCGTCATTAAATATGAGTGATGACTTATCTACATGTATCAAGACCTTCAAAATGCTGATTTTTAATTTTTTAAAAATTCAAAAGTGTGATTTTGCACAACAGCAAAGCCAGTGAAGCGTGGCTACAATGAGTTTGATGAGGTCTGATACTGGTGCCGGCACTGTGTTACCGCTTGAATGATTCCTTGGCTTCTGTCACAGCAAGCGTATGAGTTATTGAGTGAGCAAGGTTGATTTAACACCTCTTTTGAACATTGTAACATGGAGGTGTGTTGGTTTTATTGATGTGAGAGGAAAGCCATCATTAAGATCCTGGTTCAGTACGGGTATATTATGTTGTATTGTAAGAGATCAGGTGGTATCAGACAAATTGTACAACGTTAAAGGTGTTGATGAAACCACAGTTTTTTCTATTAGAGTTGTACACATCTTCTGTATACCTGTTCTGAATCTGTGGGGTGGTGGGGTTGCCTGCTTGTCATGTTACATGGGTACAATGTGTGAAGCCCATTTCCAGTGACCCTGCCGTGATATATTGCTAAAAGCAGTATAAAACCCAACTCTCTAACTTACTCACTCTAAATCTGTAACATACAAAAGAAGTATGGAGTTTCATGTACAATTTCGGTCTTGTTCGGGGTGGGTATCAGTCTAAGTAGCTTAGGCTCAGTATTATTCGTTACACTGCTATACTGAGAGTCTAAGAAAACCTAGTAGAAGAAGGTCGCGCCAGCTAACCTTTTGGACTGACCAATCAGAACACAGCTTACCAAATCGCGAAAGTTCACATTGACACATATTGTTTGAGCCTTTACCTAAAAAACTCGAACAATTCCGAATGCTATTTTCCGCACGATCGCTTCCGAGTGATACATGCAATGAGTAAATGGTCGCTGAAAATAGCGTTTTTGTCAATATAAGCAAAAGCATAAGCATGTATACTGCAGGTCAAATATTTGTGTTTTATGCAGATTTTCGTTTGTTGATAGATCAGTGTCAGCGATCAGAGAAGAGAAAATCCAAAACCGTTTTGTAAGTCCCGCCGAACCCCTAACAAGTAGTCGTTGTCTGATTGGTTAAATCCATTCGTCCGTCTCGCGTTTGATTGGACGGTCATAGGTCGCTACTACTAGGTTTTGTTAGACTCAGTATAGCAGTATTAGTGTAACGAATAATACTGAGCCTAAGTTTCCTTAGACTGGGGTGGGTGTAAACATAACTTGGCCATACCATGTCAATTTCCTGTTGTCCATTCCATTACATGATCACGAAGCAACACTATTAAAATAACGTCCCGAGATAGAGCCAAATACATGTAAAACTAAATTTGAATGGAAGTAAAATTAATTAAATTTCTTAGACCAGCATCATTAAGGTCATTTCATCCAACATCAAACTGGTATGCCATAATATTATGAAATATTGTCCAAACTAAACTCGAAAAAAATACTTTTGTTTTAACTTGTCTGATGCATTATTGATGGTTTAAATAATTTAACTGATATGAATAAATATAATCTTATTTTCATAGCTTCAACAAACAAATAGTTTTCTTTGAATTTCATTGGTAATTGAATAGCTTCACTTTCCAACAGAAGCAGCACATTTTCAATGAATGTATTTACTCAAAAGAATTTAAAGAACTCCCTATTTTTAATAGGACTACAGTCACTACAACATTTTAAGTCATATCCTTATATCATGCCAGGCAGTAATTGACTCTCACGGGGGTCAGACTACGTTACTAACTGTATGTGACGTCAAATGTGACATTGGGACATTCGATGACTATTGTTAAAGCCTCGGTTGATGTTGTTTATCTGTACAAAATTTCTTTCATTTTTAGTTCATGTAGTAAATATCTTTGAAATATCCAGTGATAATCTGGCTTTGCGTTACATTTTTTGAAGAGTATATGTTATATTTCATTCTTCTTTGGTGTTTTTTCCAAACACTTGGCATTTCTGGTGCCGCAGAGGAAAACAAACATAAGGACCAATCTACAGGATGAATTGAGTCAACCTGCGTAATGATATTTGTTTCAGCGAGAGATCAAGTACAAGTGCCTGGTGGGACTTATGATCCAGAATCGAGTCACATATCACTACCAGCTGAAGCTTACATCTCTTCCATCACAGGCAGAAACTAAATACATCCTCGTCATACACAGTGAGTTCATCTGTTCATGGTAGTAACAAGTCTTACTTGCCAGTAGGAATTGACTTCAATATTTTTATCATTTATTTTCCCTTTCTCTAATACAAAAGCCAGAAACGAAACAAGTATACGGTAGATTTGTCCACAGGTTCAGGATATCCCCTTTCACTTGGGATCCTTTTCAATTTATAATGGATCTATTCCTTTCTATCAAAATTATAAACTTTTGGAGGCAAAGAAAACAGTAGTTCGGCCATGTTATAATTATGTCCACAAGTAGAAAGATTTTTACAACATAATAGTGATTGTTGATCAGGTGAGCGAGAACCCCCCAAGTGTCGTGTAGTTCTGGCGGTGGCTGCTATTCCTGCCCGGCGGAGTGTGCACGTTGTGTGGCAGAGACCTGGCCGTACAGCCAGGATTACTCACTATTTGGTCTCACTATACCAGAAGAAGGATCTTCTCAGCACCGCCAAGGTGGGTTCTTTGTGTTTTTCGGACAGAGTACTGACCATGTCATTTTGTCTCAGGGTGTTATTTTTTATCATTTGCTTCAAGACTATTTATATTCTGTGAGAAGAAAGGCAAAAAATGTTTGGTTTTCTTCATTTGTTTTAAATGTCAGTGGAAATTTTTCTATTTAAAGGCCAAATGTTTGGGTTAAATCCCATGCGCACACACACACTTTTGAAAAATAAAATTGAGTATGCGACCGTTTATGCATGATAAGTAACTTAAATTTTTAATGTTTGCTAATATATTGATGATTGGTAATGAAACCGGAACTGTTTCAATCATTAGAACAGACACGGTGGTGTTCGCATTATGGCCCTATATTTCTGATAGTTCATGTAGAAAACCCTGAAACAATTAAAACATTCTTTAGACAAAACATAAACATATGCTGATAGATAATATCAATCATTAATATCTTTAAATATAACCATTTACAAAATATCATTATTGCTAATCTATTCCATATACATTGCCTCAATATTTCATTGATGACACGTTCCATTTATACTTTAATTCATACATAGATAGGCATATACATATCATATCATATAGGGAAACAAGCATTTCTTATCATGTAGACATTACACAATGCATATATAAAATATAATAAACCCACCAAGTGTGTGGACCTGGGTATAGTCAGTACACACCGACAGCTTCACGAGCAATACACCTACATCTGCACGAATAAATGAAACATATATACACACTGTGCAGACTAATCAAATGACAGCAATAACAATACAACAAATACGTTTAGTTATTGTTGATTAATGAGAAACATTTAAAATATATATAATGGTAAATCCCTGCTTCATTCTTACATTCACACATTTACACATTATACATTCATACATTCATACATTTACACATTATACATTCATACAACAGCTGTATAGTACTTAAAGATTAAGTTTAACACTGATAAATAGCTTACTGAATTATTTAATTATTTACCATTTGTAAATAATTAGACTTATAATGCATTACATTCTGCAACACAACTAGTTATCACAAACTACTCAATATTTACAATATGACAAAGCAGCCAAATTATCAACGCATAAACACAATATGCGTATACATCCAATGAGTATGTACAAACTACAAAAAGTATGGAAATAAACTAACCTTCAGAAATGATCCCAAGAGCTCCTATAAATGTCCAAATAAGTCAAAACGTGTGAGCTTCAAAATCCACAAATGCCTTGTGACCAGTTGACAGTTGAAACGTTCTGAACTGATAATAAACTTTAAACCTTAAAACAGGGGACAGTAAGCTAACAAGGTTTATGACAAAGGGACAGTAAGTGGAGCGCTTGGGCAGGCTATTGTGTCGCAGTGCTTTAGGTGAATGTGTCTGAGGCAGAAAACTCATGCAGTAAGCTGAGAGAGGGGTTAAGAGAAGCTGAAGAGTGAAGTATATAATGTTTAAAATACACTAAACTGAATATTTAATTTAGTTAAAACTAACGAATAAAAACACTAAATATATACAAACATTTCATCCTGTCACAGTAAGAACTAAATTATGTAATTGAAAGCAAAAGGTGGCATTCCTTCTGAAACTGAAATGGTCATTTTGAGAGCAATTTGATGGGTTTTGATCAGTTGATCAAATAGAAAGCTAGTTCTCCTGTTTTATACCTAGTACTTGTCTAAATTTATTTAGAAACAGTTTATTTTTTTAGCTTAACACGTAATATTTATGTGTTTATATTTTTGCAGAAAAAGTATGGAACTGAAGAACATGAATTTGAGAACCTAAGTCGTGGTTATTACATTGTCCAGGTAAGTTATCTCCCCTTCATTTTCATTGAAATATTGTTTTATTTATTGCCAATATTTGATTTTGACCTGAGGGCAGATAATACATTTCATTTTCAGGCTTTCTGTGAGTGAGTTTAACAGTGTTCCAAGGATTACGGCATCAGCAGACCTCCCTATTGGGGAATAAAAGCAGCATTTTTAGCATAACAAGTGAATGTTTTAACCTCTAAGCTAGCTGCAAACCTTAGGGTGCCGTTAACAATCCACTATAGACACCACTACTTGTCATGACTATTCCCAATGAACCAGTGAGTGAGCAAATAAAGTTTTATGGAACAGTTTGCTTCCACAAACTGGTCCGGGTTAGAATATTGATCTTCATTAACCCATGCTTGTCGTAAGAGGCGACTAACGGGATCAGGTGGTCAGGCTCACTGACTTGGTTGACACATGTCATCGGTTCCCAATTGCGTAGATCGATACTCATACTGTTGATCACTGGATTGTCTGGTCCAGACTCGATTATTTACAGACCGCCGCCATATAGCTGGAATATTGCTGAGAGCGGCGTTTTACAACAAACAATCAAATAAGTTAACTTGATCTATGTTAGGAAGGATAACAATATATGGATGAACGACTTCTTTTTTGCTGTGAGAGCGACGTTTTGGTGTAGGTTCTGACATGGTTATCAAGCAAGTGATGAGCAGCAAAAGTATAGAGGAGCATATAGCCATATATACAAGTTAGAGGAGATGCTTGTACCGTACAATAGGGATTAGGAAGCCAGACACAATAACAACACATGGGCTTTGATAAAAGCGTTAACAAATAAAGCCTGCAAAATACAAGGGGATAGTGAAGCCTTGGGTATACATAAACGGGGGATTATCGATGATGAGGATCTTTATTGAGTTGGTAGTATGCAAGAGGTATGTAGTAACCTCGGTCACGGTTGATTGATGGCTTTAGTATTTGTATGTAGATGGCTTCTTGGAGTTTCCTGAGTTTATAGTCTTTGAGGTTGGTTTTTAGGGTTCAGGTTCTGTCCCACTTGGGATTGGGATTGGTTTGGATTGTCTTTGATGTGATCTGATAGGGCTGATTTAGAGTCACGTTTAGATACTGAGGTCTGATGCTCTTTGATTCAGGTTTTGAGGGGTCTTCATGTTTCACCTACGTTGGTCTGTCCACAATCGCATGGGACGTGGTAAACTGTTCCCAGTCGTTGTTTCTGGCTGGTTGGTGGTTTGCCAGTCGCTTTGATGGTGTTAAGGATGCTGTAGTTGTTTCCTTTGAAACCCACATCTATATTGGCCTGTTTTTAGGAGTCTCTGGACTTTGTGGCTGACAATTCCATAGTAGGGGAGGCTGATGACCAAGGGTGCAGATTGTTGACGGGTGGATTTCTGTTTTGTTGTTGAAGTTCTGTATGGTTTGTTGCACAAGCTGTTCGGGGTAGTTGTACCGTGTGAAGACTTGTTTTTGGTGCTGGAGTTCGGCGGTAAGTTGTTGCTTGGTGGAGCAGATATTGTGGGCTCGACATACTAGGGTGGAGATGATTCCTTTATTGACTTGGGGTGGATGATTGGAAGCGTAGTGAAGGTACTGGTCTGGGTTGGTTTTCGGTATACTGTAGTGCTAAGTTTATTATTGGATGACAAAGGTATCGTCCACTTTCCGGAACCAACAGAGGGGTGTTGTGGGGGATGTTTCCAGGGCTTTTTCTTCCAGGTGGGTCATGAAGATCTCAGTGATTAAGGGCGATAGTGGGGAACCCATGGGGAAGCTGTGGGTTTGCTGCTGTATGTTGTCCCACCAGGTGAAGTATGTGGAGCTGATGCAGGAGTGTATCAGTTGGATGATACTGTCAGTTGTTAGACAGGTTTCTAGGGATGGGTGATTTCATCTACGTGGTTTCTGATGATTTCAAAGGCTTTGTCATATGGAACATAAGTGAACAGGTCAACAACGTCATAGCTTATTAATTTGCCGGGTTGGTTGATGTCGTGGATCTTCTTACAGAAAGCGGATGAATCTGGGATGAAGGATTTAGCAGTTTTTCCGAGTGGTGAGAGGAGGCGGGATAGATATTATGCTGTATTGTAGTGGATAGGAACAGACTGAAAGACAAACTTTCACAAGGTCCTTATGGATTTTAATGGTGGGACAGGCATATGGTGAAAAAATAAAGAATTGAAATAACGCGACATTTTGGTTGAAACAAAATAATTTATTTAAGTATTAATGAGGTACATAAATGTGGTCAACTGTCAATGGAAACACAGAAAATTATCTGTGCTAAGATGTATGATGCGGAATGTCTTTTTCTGGGATGTGTACATGTTTCCATGTCTTACATATTTCTGTTTCAATCTTGTTGTACCCATGAAGGTCCGGGTTAGAATATTGATCCTCAGTAACCCATGCTTGTCGAAAGAGGCGACTAACTGGATCGGGTGGTCAGGCTCACTGACTTGGTACATGTCATCGGTTCCCAATTTGTGCAGATCGATGCTCACGCTGTTGATCACTGGATTGTCTGGTCCAGACTTGATTATTTACAGACCGCTGCCATATAGCTGGAATATTGCTGAGTGCGGCATAAAACTTAACTCACTCACTCAATCTTCTTGTTGACTGTTTTGCAGGTGGAACCAAAGACGGTGAATAACACGAGCCCATGTGGAAAGACAGTTTACAAGGGCATTCAACTGATTTATTTGGGTGACTACAGTGTGTGAGTGAGGACACGAATGACAAGAGCGAATGCCTTCTGATGGGGACACCTACATGTAGATCTCAATGCTCAGTGTCAAATTTTGAATGCGGTACTTCCCAGATCCCAGTGTCTGATACTACTAAGAATGTTGGTGTGATTCTCGATCCAGAGCTTTCACTCGATCACCATGTCACCAATCTGATAAAAAGCTGATTCTTTCATCTGAGAAATATCGGGAACATATGCAAGTACCTAACAAAGGACTCTGCTGCCCTCCTCGTCCTGTCTCTGGTGATGAGTAGCCTGGACTATTGTAACAGCCTCCTGGTCGGTGCTACAAAATCTCAGATCTCCAGAACCCGTGAAGGTCCGGGTTAGAATATTGATCTTCATTAACCCATGCTTGTCGTAAGAGGCGGCTAACGGGATCAGGTGGTCAGGCTCACTGACTTGGTTGACACATGTCATCGGTTCCCAGATCAATGCTCATGCTGTTGATCATTGGATTGTCTGGTCCAGACTCGATTATTTACAGACCACCGCCATGTAGCTGGAATATTGCTGAGTGCGGCGTAAAACTAAACTCACTCATTCAATCATCTCCAGACTATAACGTATTTCACATGTTTCCACGAGAGTTTCAATGGTCATTTAACTTTCAGGACAAAAGTTGTCCCTCATGGCCGGACCAAATGATTTGGCCATAGAACATTGTTCTTATTCTCCTGCTTCTGCCTGGAATAGCCTACCCACTGAAATTAGATGCTGTCAAGATTATTCTCCCTTTCGCTCTTATCTCAAGACCTGTTTCTACAGACTCGCCTATTCCAAATGATTCCCACCACTGTTCTGTGTTCCTTCTTGTGTGCACCTTGAAAGGCATGGAAAGGCGCCTCATAAATGGACTATTGACAGACAGACAGACAGACAGACTTACATCCGTGCAGCAACAACTGTGAATTCTATAGTGCAAGGATTACTGATTCCTGATAGAGCTGTTTGGTTCTACTTAGGCCTGAGCAATCTTTGGAACTTGGTTCTTTGTCGCTGTAGTATCTCATGATGTCAACATTACAATACCTCTTTCATAGTTCACTTCATTACACATCGACTGATATTTAATCAGTCAGGCTGACCCCCTATTTATGCCACTTTTGCATGGGTTCATTTCCACAACTCAGCATTTCAGACCTGATTTTACACATCCATGCCCATTTTGTTATTAAAAAAAGTGTAAACAGCTTTAAAAAGCCATAGTTCAATAGTTTTAACAATAAAATGACCAAAATTTTGAAGTCAGAAGAGAAAGTGTTGGAAATATCTAATGAAACATAGTGTCGTTTCATCTTCTAATTGCATGGCATGTGTTTAATTAAGCCATATAATTTGTACATGCACAAGGAATATAAAGATCATAACTGTAGGTATACGAAATACTGCTACATGTGGTTTGCCAACAAACCCTAATCACTAGAGTACATCTGAACGAAACAAAATTATGAAAATAATGTCTTTAGATAATGGTGTTCTAAGGGCCAACTTGATTTCAACACTAGGGTGGCCTGTTGCCAGTAGATATGATGGTATCTCTAAGATTTAGGGGATTCAGTGTCTTCACTCCAGAGTGTTTAGGTTTAGGTGTATTTTACAATCAGCAATATCAAAATTATATTTTAACTGGCCCATCTAAAAGGTCTAAGTTCTTTATCACAGACAATTTTAAGCCTCCTTAGCAAAATTTATTATAAATGATATCATTTTATGTTTGTTTACATCTGAAGCATTTAACATGCTAATAGATAAGTGTCACCAAAATGTTAGGTGAGCTACAGGCACTAATAATTGGTTGTTGCTACTTCTCCTTAGATCCCCCCTTGAAAGAAGAAGACTCGACCTTGAAGATCCTTCTAGCGGCAATTAGTGGAGCAGTTCTGGCCGTGATCCTCTTGATCGTCATCTGCTGGCATGGCCCAGGATGCATCAGATCAGCACAGGGTAAGTCGACTATTCAGGAAGGGTTCGAAACATTTTGGTACCTGCTATTTTGTTATAATGAACTCGAAAGGCTAACTAGAAGAAGTTTTGAATATTTAACAGACAAAACCATTAGGGACCATTGAAAGATTGTAATTTGTCAGTGAGCATATCATGTATTGTATGGTTGCATGAAAACTTGTGATGTTCCAGGGCGGTGGGGGAGCCTAAGAACAACAAACACCTCATGACACATTGGTATTCACATTCTCTTTACATGTATATAGTTTCAGGAAATGGACAGACATTATTGGTGAGTGCGAGCGATGTCCAGGGCAGAGTGAAGAAGCTGTCATGTGTCCTTCGACAGAACCTGCAAGTCGACGTCCACTACGACCAGGAACAACTACAGCACATAACAGCAGGGACCGGACTGGCGAAATGGTTTGAGGACAAGGCAAAGAATTCTAACATCCTAGTTGTTTGCTCCAAGTTAGGAAAAGAAATATCGGAAAAGAAACAAAGGGAAAATTATTTCTACCAGGCTCTGGAACAGATTGGACAAAATCCTGCATTATCCCGCCGTGTATATTTTGTATGTTTTGATGGACATCATGAGCATATAGATGTCTTCTCATCCATTAACAATCATAATGGGGTTAGGATGAAGCCAGGTTGTTTCAGTCACTCTTCAAGGAATGATGGAGTGTATGTTTTGCCTGATGACTTTTCAAATCTAGGACACAAGCTGAAGAAAGGTGGAATGGATAAAAATTATAAGTTATCAGAGTCTTGGAAAGATTTCTGTAAAGAAATGGTAAATCGTCAACCACCAAGAATGATCTTCAGAAGGAACCATGCAACATCCTCCATAGCAGAAAGTGATGCCGTATCTCGCATGACTACTGAAACACTTATGCGGTATCCACAGGCTCAGTCCGTGGGTTCCATCTCTGATCAAAATGACGACGAGAGTGGGGAAGATGAAGAGCCATGTCAGCTTGCCTTAGCAAGCAGATTCTTTCTTGATCAAAAGAATTGGAGACCTTCAACAAATCTCTTGACTTTGAAAGAAACAGATCTTGATAAGAGTTGTGTAAGTTTAGAAGAGTTTTCAGATAAACCTCATGGTCAAAGCGAACTTGAATACAAACACTCACCAGATCTGCCAAGTACTTATGCTCTAGACTCTAGATTTGTTTCAAGTCCAATGAACTCAGTTGATCCAGTGTACACTGAAAAGAAATATATACAAAATGAGTTTCATCCATTGCAACCCCAGCATGGGATGGGAGATGGACGACAAAGAATATTGAATGTTGGTTATTGCAATGTTGATCAGCCGAACCTTCATCCTGACCAGTATGGAATCGGAATAGGGAAATGTGATTACAGTTTGTCAGGTCAAGGTTATAACCCTTACCTTCATTATGGCCAGCAGACATTCATTGACAGTGGACATTATGACAACAGCCGACTGTATGACGATAGTGGACAGTGCGATTCTGTGGGTCACAGCTGTTCTGCAGGCTGTTTTGATCCACGGGGTCAGATGTTTCAGCATCACATGCACGAAGGACCATCCACTTTTGACAAGCAGGGCCATACAGGCAGGTATGTTTCCCCTAACCAGCTTCTACAGCACCTTCCTACAGAGCTGCAATCAGACTGGTCCAGTGTCCATCCTGCCATGTATGGGACGCCATTCATCCCCTCACAGCACCCATATCTTTATCAAGAATATGATAAATCTTTGTTTCAAGGTCAAAGTATTCCTAAGAGAAAACAGTTTGTGAATAATCCACAAGTTCAAAGACAGTCTGCTCCTGGCCCTTGGGATGGAGACTTGCAGGAAGGTGTTCCATTGTTCAATCCTTCCTCTGACGTCTGTGGTCCAGTGTTACCACACGTGGTGATGGACAGACTAAGCTCAGGAAGTGAGTGGGATGCACCCAACATTGATTTCTGTCCACCTGATGTTTTTGGTGGAAGTGATGATAAATCATTAACTTTTTGCATGGAATCAGGACAGTTTGTCATCGTACCACTGTACCATGGTACGTTACCAGGCAACAGTCAAAACTGTGCACCTGACAGCAGTGAAGACTCTGCTCCTCATGTTGAAGTGAAGTCGTCCAGTAACCCTGAACTAAAAGTTGACGGCGACCAATCACAAGTTTCAGATCAAGACAGGAATTTACGCGATCAGTCTCTGGAAGAACAGAAGAGGCAGAGCAGGTAGACCCAGATGACTTTGACCCTGTGTCCTAACAGGGTCATAATGCTGCGAGACAAAAGATGTTAGAACTGTCATGTTATTATCCTGGTACATGTATTAGGGATTGTGGACGCTTCAGAAACATTTAATGCTTTCTCGCTGATTTTACATGAACAATTGTAAAACATTTTTTGTAAATATATACGACAACTTTATCTTAAACACAAGCCATCATCCACATATTTATCATGTCTATGTGCTGCAACACACTTAGTTTCAGCACGAATATACACGGCCGTCCAAAAATATCATCTGATGATAAGTATAATACTGAGTGAGTGAGTGAGTTGGGTTCTGTGCCGCTTTTGGCTTTTTTAATAATCACACAAAAATGTCAACATGTATGTGAATGCAGCATATTTCTATTAGAGGGCACTTGTTAGGGAGGGGCGCAAAGTACATTGAGTAGGCTAAGTATGCACAGATGGCAGTCAGGGAAGGCAACAGGAAAATCTATTGTGTCCTTGAATGGCGGGTTCAGAATGTACAATTTGAAATAAAATCGGCGGAAATCAGCGGATCCGCAGAAAATTGCCATCCCTGGGCAGTCTAAGCTGAAAAGATACTCTGATGTGCATTGCTGTGTACTGCAGCTAGAACGTTGGACATTGATTGTACATGCAGTTCCTATTCCTACAGTAAATGTTAAAATTTATGGATACAGGGGGAAATTTGTGAGGAAAATCACTTAGGCAGGGTTTTACACAGACTTTTAAAAATGGGAGTCATGGTGACTCACAATATTTATGTTTCGGAGTCATTTTCAATATTTGGGAGTCATGAAAATTTTAGTATTTCTTTTTGTTAATCATTCTCAGTATGTAACTGTCTATGTCACACCACCAAATGAAACTACAGCATTGTTCAATTCAAACAGCCAGGATTACTGTCTCCCCTGAGTTCTCTGGAACAATCTGACAGCTCTGTAAAAGTCAAACTATCATCGAACAATATCATTTTTTGCTTATCAAATCGATTTTATTGAACTGAATTGTGACGGCCACCCATTAAACTTGCGTCAAGCTTGACTCGTATGATAATATTTTGAGAGTAAAATTGTTGCGTCAAATACGCAGGAATCGCGCATTATGTAAAACCCTGCTTAAGTGTGTCTGCTTTCAATCAGTTTCAAAGGGAAGCATCATGTGAATAAATGTCTGTACAGATATTGAGGTAAAACTATACAAGGAATAATGTAAATTGTTATACTGACGTTTTGTAGTATCCTGTATATTGGTACTTACCCCAGCTTCGTGTTGAGTCAGGTTTGAATAGCACAATGCCAAAACTGACGACCCAATCAATATTCATTTGTGTTTCAGAAATTCTGTATGAGGATTTTAGCAACAAGTACATCCTGTCTCCAACTACAGTAGGAAAATTTGTTATTACATCTATCAAAATTTAGAACCACAATCTAACACTGGATAATCTTAGATTTTTGGATAACTGATTTCCGCTGCATTTAATCAAATAGGAATAATTAATTATGATAACAGATGGTAAATATGTTTGATAACCTGATCAAATTTGGGTCACATTTGCGTAGATGGGTGCTCATGATGTTGATCACTGGATTGTCTGTTCCAGACCCGATTTACAGACCACCACCATACAGCTGGTGTATTGCTTAGTATGGTGTTAAGCAACAGACAAACTAAACCTGATCAAATTTTGCTAGGAATATTAGACAAATTGTTAATTCATCGTAAAGTATTTACCATGGTTACAGGAATGATATCTGAGGATGTTTGATTAAATGTTTGTCATCATGAGTCATATACCCTGTGTGTTCAAATTGTAAATTCATCTTAATGTATTTACCATGGTTACAGGAAGTGAGGTGAGTTGAAATTTGGTTTAAGGTCGTGCTTTAATATTTCGCTCATATGAGGACGTGCATGTGTGTGTCTGTGTATGTGTGGCTGCTTGTACTAGCCCAGACTTAAGCTGGTTTTACAGTGCTAGCCCACTGAGATACCATGCTGCAGTGAAGCATCAATAACCCACTCAGACACATTATACTGACTCCGAGCCGACCAGTCCTTGTTGTACCCATTAATGCCGACCAACAAGGGACCAACAAGTACCATATTTTAACGTCTTTTGGTATGACGTGGTCGGGCAGACGCTCAAACAACTACACCACGGCGGTCTATGGTTACAGGAATGGTATCTGAGTATGTTTGATTAAATTTTAGTCATCATGAGTCATATCCTCTGTGTTCATCTTGGGACCCTCCAGTTATCATTCTGAGTGACCTAAAGATGTTTTCTCCATACAGTTTGCTGTTATCCTTTTGTGGCAAGATGTTTGGTGTCATGAGCAATCGTACTGTGTATAATATTTGTAACTTTTCATTAAAAGTCTATGCCCATTTGTTTTTGTTTGTCTTCTTTGTTGTTTAATGCGGCTCTCAGCAATATTCTGGTTATATGGTGTGGTATTGTAAATAATCAAATCTGGACCAGACGATCCACCCATCAACAGACTTCTCAGTTCCATAAGAGGGCATGGGTTGCCCAGTTGCGTAAGGCACTGCCATTGCTGTGCAGAGTTGCTTCCCCTTGGAATGCCAGAAACCTACAGTTGTGGGGACTAATCCCAGTTTAACCACGATTCTGGGATGTTTTCAGTATCACACCCATGCTCATAGGGTTAGCTATGATGCCACTGCCACGAACGTTTTCTCCTATATTTTGATACCGGGTTAGGCAGTATTATGCACTGCTGAGGTGTATATTGACTGTTATCACATTGAATACACTTTCTCAGTAAAGTACAGGTTCCAGTACTTCACTCTATTCTAGTACTTTTATTTTAGTCCCGTACAGGATTCCAACCCAAACTCTCCGAGCAAGGCACCTAATCGCCAGCAACCTGCCACATTAACAGCTCAGACAGTTCCTGAGTTTAGATCAAGTCATGGCAGAAGTATCCGCAAGTTGGCTCAAAACCCTCTGACAAATGAGTGAGTGAGTTTAGTTTTACGCAGGTTTCTGCAATATGCCAGCAATATCACGAAAGGGGACACCAGAAATGGGCTTCACACATTGTACCCATGTGGGGAATCGAATCCGGGTCTCGGCGTGACCAGCGAACGCTTTAACCACTAGACTACCCCACTGTCCCTTTCTGGTGTCCTCCGCCGTGATATTGCTGGAATATTGCTAAAAGGCGGCGTAAAACCATGCTCACTCACTCACTCACTCATTCGTCAGGAGTGTATAAGGTTAAATTGTCCTGGGTGCCGTTCCACTAACCGATCTTATCTAAGATCAATCTTAGCAAGTTACGCTTATTTTACAATCGTCTTAGCTAAAAGTTCCACCCGTTCCACTACCCGATCTTAGGCCGATCGTAGCCGGTCCCGATCTTACGATCCGATCCAAGCTTAGATCGAGACTCTTTCGTGCGAAAGATAGAGGAATGCGAGGCACGAGTTATCTCCCTTTGCATAGTCTAGCAAATGATAGAAAGTAGTTTACGAACCAACTGAGTGAGTGAGTGAGTTTAGATTTACGCCGCACTCAGCAATTGTCCAGCTATATGGCGGTGGTCTGTAAATAATCTAGCTAAGATGCATAGCGTTCACTAACATGAGCGTTCATGTTAGTGAACGCTATGTATCTTAGCTATAAATAATCGAGTCTGGACCAGACAATCCAGTGATCAACAGCATGCGCATCGATCTGCGCAGTTGGGAACCGATGACATGTGTCAACCAAGTCAGCGAGCCTGACCACCCGATCTCGTTAGTGGCCTCTTACGACAGGCATGGGTTATTGAAGTTCAATATTCTAACCCGGGCCTTCATGGGTATTTTTCCAACCAAGTGTAAACGTGGAGAAAAAACCTAGAGCAAAATATTAGGGTAGTGAGCACCTTGGTTTCAGGTGCAAGTGCGTGAGAACGCTGGGTATCAAGCATAATATAATAATAATAAATGCATATTTATAGTGCGCCTATTCCACATCCTTGGGCATGCTCAAAGCGCTGTGTACAGATAATTTACACGAGAATATTTACAGCCGAGATTATAAGTAATATACTGAGAACAGGTTTTAAGTCTGAACTTTAAAAATGTCAAATGTGTCAGAGCTTTTAATATGTGCCTGAACCTTGTCAATCAGAATAAACAAGGCGTGCCGAGGCTATAACGTATGTAGAATCTGTCAGTGGTCTTGAATAACACGCGGCCTGCCTTTAGAATCCCCCACCAAATATGCGCAGTGAAATCAAACATATTTGTATCTTTTTGCTTCAGAACATTGTTCACTTCACGGCTGTCCCTATTCTTAGCCATGATGTTGCAATATTGTTGTACAAATGTGTTACACCGACTCGCTCGGTTGTGTTCCCATGACGACAGTGGTCAGACTGGCCTGACATTTGTAAGGCTTCAGTGCAGTGTTTGTTTACATCACAGAAATATACAAATTCATTTCATGGGGGACTTTAGGGGACGCTCACGGTGAAATGCTCGCTCTATTTTTCACATAGAATAGGAAAGCCACCATTTTGGTTTCTCTACGATTGATTTTAGCTATCCTAAGTAAGTTGGTCATGAGCAACTTAGACTTTGAATCTTAACTTAACGATTGACTTAGGTAAGATTGGTTAGTGGAACGGTATGCCGATCGTAACGTCACGCTAAGATTGGGATTTTAGGGGTTTACGATTGGCATAGGGCTAAGATCGGTTAGTTGAACGGCACCCTTTACGATATCGAGTATTCTACCATGATTTCAGTAAATACTGGATTGTGACTGGTTAATTAAAGTCATTTTTTCAGAAGTATATAATTACGTTCTACACGTCTGATTTTCAAACACAGTATGTATTCTTTTTAAATCTAAATAACGCGGTTATGGTAGAATGGAGATTAGAATACTGTGTTGGACGTGCGTGAGGTTTTAAATAAAACAAACAGAGCTATTATGATTTCGTTATATACCTCTGA